CTAGGGCATGGCCGTCACCGTCCTGCTCTCGGGCACCTGCAGGAGACACCGGGAGTCAGCTGGGCTGGAGGGATGGGCTGGCAGGGCACGGTCCCTGGTTTTGGGAGTGGCACACTGAGTGATGAGATCCCTGGCATGGACTCTAGCCAGGTCCCCAGTGAGGACTCTGGCCATGTCCCCAGCCAGGTCCCCAGGTGGCAGCCAAGTGTCAGCCCCAGCCAGATCTCCAGTGAGGGGATCCTCCACCAGTGAAGTCCTCAATGAGAACCACAGCCCACAGCCACCGGCATCTGGTCTCAGCCTGGCTCTGCAGGCGCCTCTGCCAGCGCGCCACAATGAAGGGAAGACATCTACATGTCATTCGCATGATGTCATCTGCATGAGGTCATCTGATGACATCATCATCATCTGTGAGCCTCCCAAACCATCCCTGCTGCTGGAGTTGGGGTACTCGGCTGCACCCCAGCAGCTCCAGCGAGGGTTACAGCTCGGATCTGGAGCCAGCAAAGCAGGAACAGCTCCGGGAGGAGAGCCCGGAGCTGCGGGATTGGCGTGGCAGCAGGACGTGTGTTCAGGCAGCTGGATGTGCTCTGCGATGATGCCGCAACAAAGGGCCGGGGCTGGGTGTCCCCATCCCGTCCTGGAGCTCAGATCCCGGCCTGGAGCTCACCCCCGGCGCGGCCGGGCAGGCAAACCACCCCAGGAAACCTCAATGGGAGGCTGCTGCGCGCCATAATGGGATAAGTACAGGGTCCGGCCGCGGCTGCCCACAGCCCCGGCAGGTTCCTGGGACGGTGCAGCCCAGACCTGCTACCAAATCCGGCTGGGCTGGGAGAGCCGGTGCTGGAGCAGCGGGAGCAGAGGCCGATAGCAGCTGTGGGATTTGCATGGGAGAAAGAACTAAATTTTCCGGTGATATCTGCAGAAATTGGGAAGTTTTGCTAAAACTCAGCAACAAGCCCAGGCCCGTTCTCTCTCGGCTGCTCCTGGAGGAATCCCAGGCATTGGCAGGACCCGGCACAAGCAGCGCCCACGGGAGCGCAGACGGTGCCCGGGCACCTACGGAAAACCCACGGAACGCATGCCGGGAACCGGCAACAGTGCGGCACCCACGGGGGAAACGAGTGGACCCAGGGCATCCCTGAACAGCCACGGGAAGCACGAGTAGAGCACGAACACCCATGGGACACCCGCGGGAAGCACGCGTGGGTCACGGACACCCGCGGGAAGCACGCGTGGAGTACNAGGAGGGGATGCTGGGCATAGGGCTGTGCCGGGGCTGCCATCATCTGCCCCCACCCCCCGCCAGTGCTAATTACAGAGCTTAATTAATGAGCACGGACAAAGCTCCCAAGCGGACCGCTGTTCTGGCATTTCCCCGTCCCCTCTCCTGCATCCCCTGCCTCTGAGGGTGGTGGGGGCACCGTCCCCAGGCATGTCCCCCTCCCCTGGATCCCGCTCCCTCTTTGTTCTCCCTAATTAGCATGAAATTACCCAGCATGCTCGTTGCTGCGGCTCCAAACCACGGAGATGGGCGACCAAACCCCTGACCCCCCACCTGTGGGTGCTGCACCCCCACACCACCCGAATTTGCACCCAGCAGCTCCAACCCCTCCCGGTGCGGGGCATCCCCCATGCCAAACTGTGTGTGCAGGGAAACTGAGGCACGGGGGAAGGGAAGGCTCACAGGCATCCCCCAATCCCTGGGTGACCTGGGACAGGTGAACGGGTGTTGCTCGGTGCAGGATTCGGCCGGTGCAGATGCTGCACCCCTGGGTCTGCTGGGTGATTTGGGTACCAACAAGTGGCCCGTCCCTGCCATCCCCCACTCCTCTGCCACCACAGCCCCCAAAAGCTGCTCATTCAACCCCAAAACAGGGGCACAGGGAGCCACAAGAGGGACCTGGCCACGTCACCTCACCGGGAAACCAGCACCCCAATTCCATGGGTGTTCCCCCCACATCTCCCCATTCCCCAAGATCCCCACTCACCCCCAGCTTCTTGCTCTTCATCCTCACATAGCCCTGCTTGATGATGTCGTTAAAATTCGTCGCCATGGCGATGGCTCGATAGGGTAGGGGATATTTTGGGAGGGGGGGGCTGCCTTCACCTTCGCCCCCCCCTCTCCATCCTCTTCCTCCCTACCCCTCCTGTCTCACCACCGGCCCAGCTTGGTGCTAGCAGCGTCCCCCATGCTGGCTGGAAAAGAGAAATGACAGATCGACGGGTGACATCTTCCTCGTCCTCCTCCCCCTCCTCCTTGTCGTCCTCCTCCTCCTCCTTCCCCTCCTCCTCCTCCTCCTCCTCCTCTTCCTCCTCCCTTCTCTGCCTGAACCATCCGAGTGGAACAGTCCGGTGTTAACCCCTGTCAGCACGGCGGAGCCAGGGTGGCACAGACCCGCGGGCAGTCCCTGCCGCCAGCTCCAACATGTGTCNTGTCTGTCCTGGGGACACGTTGGGGACACGGGGCCCTCCGGGTGAGCGGTGGCCGCGTGGTGTCTGCATCCCCCCATACACATCCATGCTGGCTCCCTCCTGGCCAAGCAGCAAAACCCCCAACCACCATTTTGCCCCTGTCTCTTTCCCTTTGCTGGATGCCTTTCGGACAAAAAAAATTTGGTTTGTGTTCCGCGGGACGTGGAATCGATGCCATGGGACACCAGCAACTTTTTCTCCCCCAGGATCGAGCGAGGCTGGGGAAACCAAATCAAATTAAAGCAAAACTTCTTTCCAATATGGGATTTTTTTCCAGCTGGAAACAACCCCAAAAAGCTGGAGGCGAGGGATGCTTTCCTCTCCTACGCCCCTATCCCAGCGTCTTGTGCCAGGGGAGCCGGCGCCGTCTCTTGCAGCCGGTGAAGCGATTTTGCAGGCGGCTTGGCCAGAGCTGCGGGTGCGTGGTTGCGGCTTTAACCCGCTCCCGGCACTAAAACCGGCAAAGTTTTATCCAGGCGTCTTTACTGTTTGCTCGGACATGCGTGGCTTGGTGACACCAGCAGGCTCCAGGATGCATTGCAGCATCGTGGGATTTGTGGGGTTTAGCCTTGCAAAAATCAAACCTCCTTGATCTGGGGCGTGTCACCGAAAGATGTGGCCAGTGACCCACTTCTGTGGTCCCAGTGACCCACTTCTGTGGTCCACGCATCATCGTCCTGGCGCCCTTCTCCTCTAGTCTGGGTTTCCAGCCTGGCCATGGTCAGCAGGACCCCTTAAATCTGTTCCCAAGGATAGGTCAGAACGAAGCAGAGGATTTCCCTAAGTCATGAACTGAGACCTGGAAATGTCGCAGGAGTGGCTGCAGGAGCTGGGCGAGCACAGCGTGGCACTGCTGCCCCACAACGAGCACTGCTGTGGCTGAGTCACCCCCGCTCCCTGCAGCTCTGCTCACGGCCACATCCCTGCAGCTGCACCCAGCAACCAAGATGAAGCACAAGATGAAGCTTTTGGGGCAAACCTAACCATTGGGTAAAAAAAGACCTTTGTTCCCTCAGTTAGGCCAGCTGGCATTGCTGGGGGGCTGTGCTGTGGTCACTGGGGGTGTCATGGAGTGGTGGCTCCATCCTGGCAACAGCATCCACTGTGCTGTCACAGGATCAGACTACCCTGAGTTCAAAGGGACACATAAGAAACACTGAGTCCAACTCCCTGCTCCTTTCAGGACAACCTGAAACCAAACCCCGTGACTAAGAACATCATCCCAACACTCCTTAACCCTGCCAGGCTTGGTGCCATGACCTCTTCTCTGGGGAGCCTGTCCCTGTACCTGACCACCTTCTCAGTGAAAAGCCTTTTCCTAACGCCCAAACTAAACTCCCCCTGCATCAGCTTCATTCCACCTCCCGTGTCCTTTCCCAGAGAGTGGAGATCAGCACCCCGTGCCCCCCAGGAACCCCTGGCACACCTCATTTCCCAGGCAGGCTGGGCACAGCCCAGGCTGCACACACAGCGAGGATGTCAGGCACAGCTTGCACTGCGGGACAGTTTGAGCACCCTGACACTGGGCACAGCACTGGGGCTAAAAGCCGAATCTCTGGGCAGTGGGAGCTGCTGCTGGGGGGCTGCAGCTCGGGGTGCTGTGTGTCCTGGGCACCGCGGCTGCCCCCCTGCCCGTGGTGTCTCTGGTAGCGACCAGCCCTGGCCGCTGCTTCTCTTTAGCATCGCGTTTGCATTGCCCGTGTGGGTCCCCTCCGTGCCGGCTGAGCCGGGCTCTGCTCTGCTCGGACACCCGCGGGGTGCTTGGTGCAGGTCCCACTAGAGGGCACAAGGATCGCAGGAATGGTCCCACAGCGGGAATGGGCAGGCGCAGGGACGGCCGGTGGCGGTGAGCGGTGCCGACATGTCCCCCGACAAACGGGAGGGGACCTCTGAGCCCCCTTGGGGAGCAGCCGCTGGGCATCTCACGAGGCTCGGTCAAAAGCGGCAGATCTCCGGTTACATCCCCCAGATCCGCTCGGTGCCAGCGCGGCTGCAGCCTGCCAGGAGTGGCTGTAAGGCTGGGGCATCCCAAAACCACCCCGACCGTGGGTTTTCACCCAGGACAGCATCACACCAGAAGCCCTCCCTCTCACCCCAAATCCTGCGCAGGGGTGGAGGCCACCTGCAGCCCTGGGGCGGCGGGTGAGCAGGGCTTTGTCTGCACCGAGCAGACGAGTTTGGGTGGAGGAGAGGATGAGTAAGTGAGCTGATACTCGGCTTTCCTCCCTCTCTCACTGAGGAAGGCAGAGCCAAGCACAGCTCCTCAAGGTGACCAAACACTTTGAGAGTAGAAGAAATCCAGCCTGAGGAAATAAATAGCCAGGACAAATTGCAGGGACTAAATCTATCAGTTGGGGGCAGCGGTCGGTCCTGAGCCCGTGGTGTATCCGAATAAACCACACATCGCCTGGAAGTGCTACCGGGATTTTTCCTCTCCTGATTCTGAGGTTTTGGAGCTGGAGATCCCACTCTGCCTGCTGGAATGCAGACCAGCATCGCAGCACGGCAGGTCCGCCTGTGGTGACATCAGGGTCCCCACAGCCCCCAGCTTGTCCCCGGAGGGTGAGCCAGGGAGGAGCCATGAGCTGCTGTGCCCGTTCCTGGCCCGGTGGCAGGGACAGAGCCCCACCGGACACGCTGCCCATCTCTGCCGAGTGACATTTCCCTTTCTGGCTCCTTCCCGCTTCTGGGCAGCGAAGGAAGCCTCTGGCTGTTCTTTGTTCCCGGCACAAAGGGCAGCCAAGGCCACCGCGTTCCGGCAGTGCCGCCGCCTCGGACAAAGGCCCGGCCCGCCGGGGCTCTGCGCCCCCTCCCCGCGGTGCCCCCGCTCGCTCGGGATGAGCTGTGCATGGCTCACCGCCCCGGCCGGGACTACAGCGATTCACCGAGAGCCCGCGGCTTTGGTGAGCTGCCAAGTGCCCGACCTTCCCCCATGAGCCCCATAGCGGGAGAGTCACATCCCAGCGCCTTCCGTGCCCTTCTCCCATCTCCAGATCTGGGGGTTTGTGCTGTGAGTCACTCTGGCTGCCGCACATCCACCTTGCTCAAAACAATCACTCGGTGATTGCCTCCTGACAGCGGGAACATGTCACAGACATCTTTTATGAAGAATCCTTTCCTTAGGATTTTTCCTCCTGAGAAGCTGAGGACAAAATGTAAACATTTATTATCTGCTGCTGTAGAATGCAACAGGTGGATCTGTAATTAATCCATGGTAAATGTTTCTAATTAATGGCCAATCACAGCCCAGCTAGCTCGAGCAGAGAGTCTGACACAGAGCCTTTGTTATCATTCTTTCCTATTCTATTCTTAGCCAGCCTTCTGATGAAATCCTTTCTTCTATTCTTTTAGTATAGTTTTAATGTAATATATATTATAAAATAATAAATCAAGCCTTCTGAAACATGGAGTCAGATCCTCGTCTCTTCCCTCATCCTCAGACCCTGTGAACACCATCACAGGAGCACAACATCGCTGGGAGGTGCCCAGGGAGATAAACCTTGTGGAGACTGGTGGGACTCGCTGGTTCTTGGGGAGCTGAGCCCACTGCTGGTGCCCAGGGCTCACCCTTTTCCCAGCCTGGCACACCAGGAGCAGGCTGAAGCACTCCCCAGGGAGCAGGGGTTGGGATCGAGCCTCCCACACTCCCCCCAGTGCCACAGTGCCAGGGCTGGCTCCATCCAGCACCCAGGCATGGGCAGGAGGGGGCTGGCCCCTATAATGGCACCATTTACCTTTCTGGGCACCTGGCCTGGCAGGAGGCCAAGGCTGGGCTGCTGGAGGGGCTGTGCCATCATTTCCTCCCCAGGAGAGGAGGGTTGGTGGCACCACGACGCCTTCAGGCTTCAGTGCCAGCCTTGACTCCAGGGGCAAAGCTGTGGAATTATAGCAAATGCCACGGATTTTGGGGAAACAAGCAGCCAGGAAAAACACTAAATCCACGTGGGAAATGGGAGGTTTGGAGAAGACCTTGGCTCCATTTTGGGATCTTTGATGAGCCCGGTTACTGCATCCCATGGGAGCATCCTCACCTGGTGCTCCTGCAGACACCCGCAGGGACCAATTTCCCCCAGACTTCCCTGACATCACCGGGGGTTTATTTACAAAGCCGAGCCTAAACAATCCGGTCTATTGCTGTGCCTACAGGTTCGGGTTTTACTGCCCTGGCACCTGTTGTGTCGCTGTTTTCGTTGAAGGAGAAATCCCGACGTGGGGTGGGGCGGACCCACCTCCCCACCGGATGTTTTTCCAGGAGGAAGGCTGAGGAGGAGGAGCAGCAGCAAGGCTGGAGCAGGAGCACCCACAGCCACTCAAAGGTAGCTGAGGCACTCCCCCTAGAGACTCCCAGGGCTATCCTGGCATTGCTCACCAGATTTGGATGAGAGATTTAGGGGCATTCCCTCCCACCATTCCCTTTCTGCTTCCTCATCCTCATCCTCTCCATCCCCCGGAGCTGGGCAGGGTGGCATTTTGCTGGGAGCACCCAAGAGGTTTTGGGGAGGGGGTTTGGGTACCCTGGCACCGCTGGGCAGTGGGGCTGGCACATCCCTCATCTGCAGACGGCGCCAGGGCTCCCCTGCCCACGCTTGTCTCCCTGTTTGGCAGCATCCCTGGTGCGACGTGCCCTCTCCTGCCGCAGTCTGCCCATCCCCTCGCCCCGCCGCGATCTGCCGGCACATTCCCTCCCTCCCTCTCCTTGAGGAGCTTTTAGCAAGATTTTAGGGCTTTTAGAGGATTTTGGAAGTCTTAGCTTTCTTTTGGAGCTTTTAGGAAATTGAAGGGGGTTTAGAGAACTTTTGCGGGTTTTAGGAACTTTTAAGAGGTTTAGAAACTCTTAGGGCTTTTAGTAATTTTTGGGATTTTAGGAACTTCAAGGATATTCAGGAACTTTTAGGGTTTATGGGGTTTTAGGGCATTTAGGATGTTGTAGGGGTTTTGGGACATTTTAGGGCTTTAGGAGCTTGCAGGGCTTTCAGGATCTTTTAGGACTTTCAGGAACTTTAAGCATATTTAGGTGCTTTGATGGATTTAGGAGCTCTTAGGACTCTTAAGAAGTTGTAGGGCTTTCATAGGAATTCCCCAGCTGAAGCAATAAACTCTTATCAGGCTGAGTACAAGGGCAAATGTGCCTTCCAAGAGACAACACAAGGATTTCCTCCCTCTTGGTGCTCAGGCAGAGTCTTTGAAGGTCTGTCGACTCAGAGATAATCCCGACAACACCAGCAAGTGCAGGCGTTGACCTAAAAATAACTTCTGATAATATCCAATGCAGACAAAAGTCTCTTTGTTCCACGAGCAGCAGCAAAAACTCCTTTCCTCGCTGCTCCGAGGGGTCTGCACCCAATTCCCCTCTCCGGGAGAGCCTGGCTTTAGCAGGGCTATTCCCAGGCGGTGGATTTATGGCGTTTCCCAAGGAGCCGGTCGGGATGACCGCGGTGGGAGGGAGGTTTGGCTCCCCGCGATGCTCTGGCTGCTGTGAGCGTGCGTTTGAGAGCTCGCCCAGCTCCCCGAGGCGTGGGGACAGCCAGACTTCAAAGGCAGCTCTGTTAGCCACGGTCCGGCCGCTTTAGCCACGGTCCGGCCATGTGAGCAGCTTCCCATGGGAGCCTTGTCCCGTGGCAGCCGGGGAAACTGAGGCTTGGAGCTGGGAATTCAACAATTCAACCATGCAAACTGCGGGATGTGCCCTGCTGCGGGATCCCAAAGCAGCCATGGCACCCGCGGTGGCACAATCCCCGTGGATCAAGGTCCATCCCCTTCCCTGCTGCAGAGGGAAGTTGTTTGCACCCTTCCCCCTGCAGAAAAGTCTAATTCAAGCCATTGAAAATATCTGCAAGAGCAACTATTTACTCAGGGCACTTCCCGGAGCTCTCCCCCCGCCCTGCTCCTGTCTGGGCTTTCTCCAGCCTGGCTGTTCCTGGGGCGCACACAAAGGGCTGGGTGCGGGCGCTGCAGGAGCGGCTTTACCCGCTCCAACAGGGCTGCCTGCAGCCCCGGGTGCCCATCTCCAGCCCCGGGTGCCCATCTCCACCATCCCCAGCCCCGGGTGCCCATCTCCACCATCTCCAGCCCTGAGGTGGGTGCTGAGGGCGCTGTGGTCGCGGCCAGGCTCTACACCCCACACCCCATCCCACCTGCTCCAGGGGAGCGCTGTGTATCCCTGCTCTGGATCTGGGCTCCCTGCCCTGCTCCTTTCCTCCCTCGCACCGTGCTCCAGGGGAGCGGGACAGGGGTCACCGGGACACTCCGTCCCGGCTGCTTTCCCATTAATTGTTATTTTTTAATCCCGTTGGCAGCCAGGCGTGCAGCCTGCCGGCCCCGCCGCTGGACGCCCGCCAGCCCGCAGCTGAAGGGCGCCGGGACGCGGCACGCCCGGCTGTGCCCAGCCTGGCTCCCCAGCCCACGGTACCGGTACCGGCCCGGGGGACGCAGCCCCCGGTGCTGCCGGCCCGGGGCTCGCTGGGCAGGTGCCGGGACCGAGAGCAGCGATCTCAGGGGGTCAGCGCCGGTCCCGGGATCCCCCTCTGAGCCGAGCCGGGCTGGAGGCGCTGAGAGCCGCGCCGAGCTGAACCGAACCGGGCCGAGCAGAAGCGGGCAGGTGCCGTGGCGGACGGCGGTGACGCCGCGGCGATCGCGGGGGTGTCGGAGGGGTCGGTGTTGGGGGAGCGGTGCCGGTACCGCCCCGCTGAGTCACCGGCCGCGGGGGGACGGGGCGGGGCGCTCCCGGGCACCGCGCGGAGCGGCCGAGGCTGGAGCTCCGCGGAGTAGCGGGGCAGAGGCGGGCCGGCTCAGCTGCGGGGACCCGAGCGGACTGGGCGGGGATCGGACCCGCGGCGTACCTGCCCTGTTGCAGGAGCCGGGCGGAGCCGGGCGGTGCCGAGCCCAGGGGAGCCCAGGTATAAAAGCAGCGGAGAGAGGTTGAGCCGGGACAGGGAAGGATCGCGGAGCCCGGTGCGCGCAGTGGAGGATCCCAGAGGCCGCGCTGAGGACCATTTGTCGGTACCGGGAGCCGAGGGGGTGCTGCGGGCGCGGGCAGAGCGGCGGGGCGGGAGTGAATGGGGTGGGTGCCCAGCGGGGCCGGGGGGATCCGCGCCGACGGTGACACCGGGCAGAGCCCCGGCTTCCTGGGCAGGGAGCAGCCCGGATGGATGGAGAGGGGGCTGAGCAGCACCCGCTCCGGGTGCGGGGCGCAGCGCTGGGGATGATGCGTGCGGCTGGGCAGGGACGCTGCTGGTGGCCGTGGTGCCAGTCAGTGATCTGCGAAACCAACCTCCATCCCGGCTCCGTGGGGCTCGCACTCCAGGCTGGGCTCCTGGGCCATGGGGCCGCAAAGCCCCCGGAGCTGCCCGGGACCGGCGCTGCTGCCACGGCAGAGCTGAGCTCCCCCAAGCCCCGGCCGGTGTGTGGCCATTGCTTCCACTACATGGGAACCACCAGCACACCTCATTCCTCCCTCCCGGCGGAGGGTGCAGCATTCCCATGGGATCGCCGGCATGTCTCGACAGGGCGATCTCCTTTCCCTAAAATGCCTTTTGGGGGGATTCCTCCTGCAACATCCCGGTTTGTTCCTGCCGGTCCTGGCATGTCAGTGCGGGATATGGGATGTAGGATGCTCGGGGTGGTCTCTACCCACGGTCTGTGCTGCCCCTCCAGAGAGACCAGCAAAGCTCAGTGAGAGCAGCTGGAGAATTGAAATGAAGTCTCCTGGAATAACCTCCTGGCAGCAAGTCTGAATGGCTGCTGTGGAGGGAAGGCAGCCAAAGCTCATTTCACGGTCTGAGGGCTACAGTAACCCCCCCTGGCCCCCATCCTCACGCCCACAAGCTCCCTCACCAGCAGGGAGCCAGGAGTGTTTCAGAGATGGGTGGGGGGCAAATCCCTTGAGCACGGGACTGCAGCCACAGGGGGGTTTGCCGTGTCCCTTGCTGGGTTCACAGCTCCCACGTGAATTACCCAAGGCCTGAAAATGCTGCATTCTTGGTTGCAGTCCAGCTCTTAATCCTGCGGCCTGGGGGCTGCTATTTGCAGAGGAACAGGTTTGGAGCAACTGCGTGTTGGCTGCAGGGGGATCCCCGGGTTTGGCCGTCCCTGCACCTTGCGGTGGCACCGTGGGTGCAGGGGCAGAGCTCTGTGGCTCGCAGGCAGCAGGATGGGTCAGTCCCAGCGTGCCAATGTCTGCACGGGACCAGCTGGGCTCAGCCTGCTGGCGCCTGCTTTTCAGGAGCTCTGCGACTCACCAGCTCCTTTCCCATCAGCCCACCCGACAGCTGGGCCTTGGCAGCAATCTGGGAGGCCCACAGTCTGTCACCTGGCTCCTTGGGTGCTGCAGGCTTTGCCCTCACTAGGCTCCAGTACCCAGCTTTCCATGCCAAATACCTGGGACCCTGATTTGGGGTGGTCCTGAGCTACTCTGCGCTGCTCTGCACCTCCCTTGCCTGGCACCTGCAGCACAGGCAGGCCATGAGGAGCTTGCTCATGGGAAGACCCAGGAGTGCACACGGTGTTTTGGGAGCCATTTTAAACCCAAGGGCGTTCACAGGGTGTTTTGGAGCCATTTGAAACCCAAGGGAATGGCCAAGGTGTTTTGGGAGCCATTTGAAACCCAAGGGAGTGCACAGGGTGTTTTGGGAGCTGTTTGAAACCCAAAGGAGTGCACAGGGTGTTTTGGGAGCTGTTTGAAACCCAAAGGAGTGCACAGGGTGTTTGGGAGCTGTTTGAAACACAAAGGAGTGATTTGGAAGGGGGATGTGCAGGAGGAGAAGTGGGGCTGCTCTCAGACAAGACTGTGTGGTGGGAGTGTGTGGCAGGGACAACTGTCTGCAGCCCTGTGGCCAGAGATGTCCCTGCACTGTGTTGCAGCCGTGTCACGTCAGCCCCAGCCCAGTGTAGGTGTACCTGGTCCCTTGCAGAGTGTCTGTGGCTGCTGCTGAAGCCACAAGGCTTTGTGTGCCACCGAGCCAGGTGCTGTGTTGCCCTGGCACTGGAGGAAGTGCTGGGTTAGTTCACTGTGGTACTTCTGTTTGTGGTGGTTTTTAGGAAATGGAAATTTTTAAAAACGTTTTTAATGTCAAGACCCAGCTCTAAGCAAACTCTCCGTCCCAGGAGCCGCAGGCACTGGCAGGCTGTGCCAGCCTCCCCTTGGTTATCCCCACCTTTGTGGGGAGGGATGCCAGCCTTTGTGGGGAGGGATGCCAGCCTTTGTGGGGAGAGATGGCTGCCAGGGGCTGGCAAAGAGCAGATCTGGCAGGGAGCTGTGCTGTTCCCGTGGGAATCACCATCAGATCTGGTTTCATCCTGCTGGCAAGGCTCATCCTGAAGGTGCTGGGTGCTCTGTGCAGTGCCAAGGCCCGGGAAAAGCTGAAGCACCCCATGGCACAGCTTGGCACTGCCAGGCTGCTGGCACTGTGCAGCTGCCCCTCGACTCCCTGGGCATTAGCCAAGCCCGCTGGTGTTGGGAATCACATGCCAATGCCATGAATAACGTGAGGCTGGCCCTGTGGGCATGCACCACTGGCATGGTGACAAGGGCGCTTTGTGCAGCACTCAGACACTGACACTGGGGCATCCCTTTGCAGGGGACCCCCATGGGGTCCTCACATCCTGGACAGCTCCAGACCCAGGACACATTGTTTTTAGTCCCTACGATGAGGGGCTGGTTGTGCAAAGCTGTTTTGCATCTCTGGGAACCCGTCCTGGCTTGCCACAATTTCCTCATCATGCTGCTGAGTGCTGCTGAGTAACCACTGTGGTGTCGAGCTTCAGACTCACTCACACCTCGAGGAACAGAGCGTCACTTTCCCAACAGAGCTGGGAGGAAAACAGATAAAAGCTCCTGGATCTCCCTGCATCCTGTGTTTGTTTGAGTCACCAGAGCTGGGAGTAACATCTTCCCTTCTCCTTGGGAAAAACGTCATGTCCAGAAGCCACGTGCCACCTCCAAAAGCTTAAATGCCTGCTGCCAAGTCACCCAGAAGGCAGTAAGGTGGTAGTAAACACCTTTTGTTTGTGGGGTTTTAAGTCTTTTTCTCCCTGCCCTCCATTCACCTGAGGTTTAGAGACCTCAGTACAATGCTTTGGCCTTTCTTCCCAAGGCCAATATGTTAATGGTGATGGGAGGATAAGAACTGGTGCCCAGCAATAAGCCTCCCTCTCTGCTGATAAGGGAGCCTGCTCCAAGCTGTGCAGCCCTGGCTCAGTTTCTGCCACCTCTTTGTACGTGATCTGGTTGATTTTGAGGCCAAGCCAGGAATTTTTCCCCTCTGCCATCCAGGCATGGGAAGATGACGAGGCAGATTCAGGCCTGACGAGAACCCAGCACATCCTGCTCCCTTTGCTGTGCCTGCTGCCAGTGTGGATGGAGGCCCTGGTTTCTCACAGTGAAACCATTTTCAGGGGATTTTCTCTCGCTATTGTTCAGCTCAGGAAGCAGCAATCAGGCTCGGCCCAGCAGGAGCACACAGGGCTCGGAGGGGAAATACCGAAATACCAGCTCCCCCACCCTGCTTCCCACAGGGATTTCTGGTCCCAGCTGAGTAACACTGAAAGGGGCTGATCCTCTCCTCCAACCTCCCCAATTAAACCTTAAGGATGTCAGCACAGTGGGCTGGGCTGAGGCCTCATTAAGATTCCTCATTCCCCATCCAGAGGCGATGCTTTATTGCCCTGCCAGCTCTGTGCTGCCTCAACATGGTTGAAGCTTCATTGCTTTTAACTGCTCCAGGTGTTTTCCAACACCCACAGCATTTTGCCACCCCAGGTCCGTGTTTTTTGGGTACATAGGTGAGACTCCTCAGTGTGTGGAAAGGCACTGGGGTGCCAGCCCCATCCAAATCCATTTACTCCTGCCAAGTCCAGCCTGTGCCAAACCCCCCAGATCACACTGGGACACCTCATTAGTGTCACTTAGCCACAGCCACGGCAGCAGGTTAATTAACAACCCAAAGCCCCCGTCTGCTGATGATAAATTGCCACAAGAAACAGGGGGAAAGGATGTGGAGTGGGCTGTACACCCATGCAGGATCTGTGCTGGCTAGAGAAACTTCCAGAAAAGCCTGTGCTGGTGGGAGAAATCTGCTACTGAGTTATTGAGCATCTGGTGACCCTTGAGCATCTGGGAGAGCAGTGAGCCTTTGCAGGTGATGCTGGCTGGTGCAAACAAAACAGTTTTGACACCTTGGTAGGTTTTGGGGGGATATTTGAGAGCAGTGCAGTGGGGTGCAGCAGTGGCCAAGGGTGCTGGCTTCACTTTGGGCATTGACAAGAGTGGGCTGGGCCAGCTGCACTGACAGCCCCACCAATGCTGTCCCACCCTGGGGCTTCTGCAGGGACAGACCCTGGCAGGGTGTGTGCCATGGCTGAAGTGACAGCGGGGTGAGGAGGAGGTGACACTGGGGATGCAGTTTGTGGCCTGGGGCAGGCAGAAAGCGCAACAAAAAGGCTGAAAGTGTGAAGGCGTGGCTGGGTGAGTGCAGGGGTGTGGAAGCACTTCAGGGTGCTCACTGCAGGCCTGGGTGGAGGTCACAGAAGCCCTTCCTCATGCAAAGATAAAGAAAAGGGTGGTGGAGCAGAGTGGCAGATGAAGGGATGGGCAAAGGGGCTGTGCAGGATGTGGCCCAGCAGTTGTGAGCAGCAGATTTGGGCAGCCATGGTTGCTGTGCTGGCAGTGCCAGGATGTTCTTGGGAGAGCCTTTTTCTGCAGGCTGCAATGATGGAGTGGTCTGCAACGTGCCCAGCTCCTCAGCTAATCTGCAGGAGCTGAAAACATCCAAGAAAATAATTTCAGGGCTGGTGAATTAGGAAACCACAGTTTCCTTCTGTTCCTATCACTTCTGATAACAAGTCAGGGTGTTCACTGAGATGTGGGGCTGAGAGCGGAAGAGGGGAGGGACCCCTCCTGTGCACTCTTTGTTTGGAGTGCTGGTGCACCCTGGGACCCCTCCTGTGTGGGTTGTTTGGTTGGAGTGCTGGGGCACCCTGGGACCCCTCCTGTGTGGGTTGTTTGGTTGGAGTGCTGGGGCACCCTCTCCATGCTGAGAGCTCAGGGGCTCCCAGCCTCTGCCACCCTTCCAGCCCACAGCCAGCTTGGATGCCCAGTGCTCCTGGCTCCTTCTGGAGGCAGAGACAACAGGGACCTGCCTGTGACACTGGCTGTGTCCCACCTGCACAGCCTTTGCTCTCATCCCTGCCCTCATGGCTTGGGGGATACTCAAATACTCATGTGGCCCCTTCCCTTTGTACCCTTTCAGGCTCTGCTGTCTCCTTGAAGGCCAGGCCAAGGTAGAGCTGCCCAGGATGAAGGTCCTCTTCCTGCTCCTTCTCTCCCTCCTCCAAGGTACACTGTCCTGCCTTGGGATGCTGAGCTGGGTTTGGGCTATTGGGAGTAACTGGCAGCCCCAAAACGTTGGCTGGGGGGCACCATGAGATGTGTGCAACCAAGGCTTCCACAGAGGTAAAACATCTCCTAGGATGATGTGCCTCTGGTGGGTGTCTTGGGCAGAATGTGTCCTTTACAGGGGGAGAAGGTGGCATCCATCCATCCATCCACCCACCCACCCACCCATCCATCCCGGGAATGGACAGCTCTGCTGCTGTGGGTGGTGGCACACAGGGGAGGGTGTCCCTGAAGGACAGGAGGTCCTGCTGCCCAAAGGGCCCTGCCAGCGTGGCAGTGACACTGGGGACAGGCTGGTGTCCCTCAGCCTGCAGGAGTGACAGGGTTGGGATGCCTGGGGTGGGAGCCTGGCGTGCCACGTGTGACAGCTGCTGCAGGCTGGGGTGCTTGCAGGGCTGGCTGTCCCGCAGCTGATCTGCTGTCCCTGTGTGCCTGTGTGTAGGGCTGGCAGCCTGTGGCCTCAGGGAGGAGGATTTTCGCTTCTGTGGGGACCGGAACCAGACCGAGGAGAGCTCTGCCGTCTTCCAGCATGGCCCTGCCGCCATCTCCATCGAGAACACGGCCCAGGCTCTGATCATTAAAAAGCCCTTTTTGCCAAGCAGGAGAAACTCCTACTACGAGTACAGGCTGCCCCCCACCTTGGGCAGGTACCGCTTCTGCATCTTCTGGTTTGAGTCTAACAGGAGCCTGCAGCTGGTCTATGGGAAGCAGAGCATCCCCCTGGGTGGGGACACAGCCAGCAGCATCCCCCGGGGACAGGAGAGTCAGAAGACTGAAAGAACCAGAGCCAACATCTTCAATGTGTCCTATATCATAAAGGGTGGGAAGAACACCTCCCAGGATGCTAAAGATGAATACTTCTTCAATGGTAAATGCAATTTAATGTTATTTGAAGGAAATTCAAGGGTTGTTTTATCCCCAGCCTGTTCCCTTGCCGTCATCAGAGCACTGGCTGTCTCCCAGTGTGTGGTTTAGAAAGGTGATATGAACATAGCTGAAGGGTGATTGAAGGGCATGTAGGTTTTCTTGAACAGCCCAAAGACAGGCCTGGTACCCAGCACCCCTAAAGGTGGAGATTTTCAAAACGCTGCCTAAAATCCCACAAAACTGAGGTCTTTCAAGAGTTTCTCAGGGTCCAGTCTCCACCATGAGGTCCCCATGGCCTCAGTGGGAGCTGAGTTGTGGGTGGCAGGAAAGCCCTGTGGGTTGGGGTCACTATCAGCTTTCCTGGCTCGGGATCACCTTGAAGCCCTCTGCTTTCTGCTCCCACCAGGACTATGCCAGTCAGTCTGGGGCATCAGGAAGCCAATTGTGCCCGTGCATCTCACGGCATTTCCTTTCCCCAGCCTCTACATTGAGCATGCCTGTGTGGGAGCAGGACGTGGAGCAGCAGTTCAGTGCCCTGGACAGCCTCATTGCCCAGCCCCTGGCAGCAGCCCCGGGGCACAGGGAGCAGCAGAGGCTCCGGCGGTGAGTCCAGCTCAGCCCATCCCTGCCAACGCATCCCCACTGCACCCTGCTCACTGTGCCCCTTCCCCAGCAGCACACTCGGGGAGCTGGAGAGGATGCTGGCCAAGGTGGAGCTGGAAGGGCAGAGCCAGACCTTTGGGGAGGCCACTGTGCACGCCACCGTGCTGAGGGTGCAGCCCAGCCGGGCTCCCCAGCCCCTCACCTTCGCTCCCCTGAGAGAGGTGGGTCCTGCAAAGCCTGCCCCGGTGCTCTTGGCCCATCATGCTCCCTCTACACCTCTTTCCTGATGAGTCTGTCTTTACAGGAGAGTGGAGAGGTCCAGGGATTCACAGTGGACCTGCCAAGCAGCCTGTTCATGGTGGTGAAGGACAGGGAGGAGGTGGCGGAGCACAGGGTGCTCGTCATGGACATCAACAGGCAGACTATGTTCCAGGTAATGCCCACGTGGGTGGCAGGCTGGGTGTCCATGGGCTGCAGGGGTGCCACCAGACCAGATTGCTGCTGCTCACTGGGAGAAAGTGATGATGACTTCAAAGATGAGCTAAAAGTTTGATGGGTAAAGTCACAGGACCTTCTTCTTGGGCACCCTTGGCTGCTCTCCCTTCCCACCCTGCCACTGCCTCCCCTTCTCCCACAGGATGAGAACAGCAGCCACGTGCTGGGTGACAAGGTGGTCAGCATCTCCCTGGTGGACACAGTGGTGGCCAACCTCTCCGAGCCAGTGGTGCTCACCTTCTTCCATGACCAGCTCCTGGTAGGTGGGAACAGCCTCAGAGAACCTGATCCCACCAGGAATGAGGGGCAGGGAGGGCTCAGCCCCTGCCAGCCTAGGGTGGGCTCACAATCCAGCAGGTCCATGCCCATGGGCTGCCTGTGCAGGGTCTGCTGTGTCTCCTGGGGCTGATCACAGGCATGGCTTGTCTGTGTGCACTGGTGGTGGCATTGGTGGTGGCACTGCCCTCCCATCTCCAGGAGATGCCTCATGGCAGATGTGTCACATCCAGCACTGTCACCAGGGCTGGGGCACACTGTGTCAGCAGGCCTTTGGCTCATCATGGCTCTGCCAGGTGCCTGCTCAAAGCTGAACCCTTTGTTTGGAAAGGAGGATCTGGAGGGAGGCATCTGCTCCATCAGTTGGTAACAGAGTGGAGCCTGGAGCCCACTCCCACCACAGGGGCAGTCTGGTTTATCCAAGTGGTGGTTTGTCCCCTGAGACCATCTTGTCTCCTGAGACCATCTTGTCTCCTGCCCCGTGCTGTCCCCTATCAGGACTGCTGGGCAGGCAGCAAACCCCCAGCTGCCTCCTGAGCAGGGCCTGTGGTTTTGTCGTTGCAGAGGAACGTGACCCCCCTGTGCGTGTTCTGGCAGGAGGACGCCTCTGGTGAGTGCCCCTGCCCTCGGCAGTGAAGTCAGGCCCTTTTCCAAGGTGCCACAGCCCCACCAGCAGGGTGAAAGCTGCTCTGCACCTCCCTTCCTCACTCCATCTCCATCAGCCATTCCCACAGGGTGATGTCAGGTTTTTCCCCCCAGAGCTAACCTAAGAGCTTTCCCCTTCCCTCGAGATGGGTTCCTGTGCTGAGAGGGCTGTTTGAGTAGTGTGCTTGGCCTGGGACAAACTGGGACCCCCACTCTTGTTCTCCCTCTTTCCATGGACACCTGGCCCTTGAGATCCTTCAGGCCATGGCAGATGTTGCTGCTGCTCACCAGTTCTCTCCTTTTCTCTTGCACAGGCAGTTCTGGGAGCTGGGACAGCTCTGGGTGCACCACAGTGACAGGGAGCAGCCAGACACAGTGCAGGTGCAACCACCTCACCTACTTTGCTGTGCTCATGGTGGGTAGCACCTTCCCTCAGGTCCCTCACTTCATTCCCAGGGGTGCTCTTCCTCACCACCTCTCATTCCTCCTCAGGTTTCTTCTCCAGACATCACCTCAGTGCACAGGAATTACCTGAGTATCATAAGCTACGTTGGCTGCCTGATCTCAGCTTTGGCTTCCATTTGCACCATTTTCTTCCTCTACTTCAGGTACAGTTTGATGGTTCACCCCACTCCCTGTCTGTGTCCTGTCCTGGTCATGGACCCCTGGGGGGACACAAGCTCTCCAGGCAGTTGGTGGCCTGGATAGAAGCATCATGAAGGAGCCTTGTTTGAAGAAAGCAGAGTTCTCCTGTCCAGGGTCCACCCTCTCTGTCAGGTCTCCTGCACGGTGCTCAGAAACACCAGCTCTTTTCAAAGATTTTGGAATTTATGATTTTTATGGATGCAGCAAGCAGAAGTCTGCAAAGATCTTTTCAAGGGCCTGGAGGAGAACATGAGTGTCTTCTCCTGAGTCATGTCACTGATCCTAAGTGGATGACTCAGACCTGAAATCTTAGAATCATGAAAATATAGAATGGTTTGGGTTGGAAGGGACTGAAAGATCATTCATTTCCAATCCCCCTGCCCTGGACAGGGACACCTTCCATTACACCAGATTGCTCAGAACTCCATCCAACCTGGCCTTGAACAATTCCAGGGATGGGGCATCCACAACTTCTCTTGGCAACCTGTGCCAGGGCCTCACCACGCTCAGAATTTCTTCTGAATATCTAAACAAAACCTGCCCTCAGATTGAAGCCATTCTCCCTTGTGCTGTCACACCATGCTCTTGTTCAAAGTCCTTTTCCAGCTCTCTTTAGGCACTGGAAGGTGCTTTAAGATGTGGAGCCTCCTCCAGGCTGCACAACCCAAGCTCAGTCAGTCTGTCTCCACAGGAAAATGCTTCATCCCTCTGAGCATCTTCAGTGCAGGGTCAGGTGCAGGGCTGGATTTGGGATGAGGGGTCTCTAATGGGGTTGGTGTCTCAGTCCCTGGCACTTCCAAAGGGTCTCCTTGCTCTTCTGCTGGGGCAGGGTGCCCCATGAGGGTTGTGGGGTGCTGAGGGCACCACTGGTGCTGGCCAGGCAGGGTGGTGAGCTCTGCTCCCTTTGGTTCTGCAGGAGCAAACAGCGGGACCAGATCACGAGCATGCACATCCACATGAACCTGCTGGCTGCCATCTTCCTCCTGGACATCACCTTCCTCCTCTCGGAGCACCTGGCTGCCAGCAGCAGCGAGGCCATCTGCACTGCTGGGGGGCTGTTCCTGCACTTCTCTCTGCTGAGCTGCCTCACCTGGATGGGCATCGAGGGCTACAACCTCTACAGGCTTGTGATCGAAGTCTTCAACGCCTACCACGACCATTTCCTGCTCAAGCTCTGCCTGGTTGGCTGGGGTGAGCATGGGGGGCACCCACTTGGGTGGGTCATTCCCACTGGATGTGATGCCGGGATGGGGATGGAGACGCAGCTGTGGGGAGCAGCTGTCTGTCAGGAGCCTTGGTGGAGGAGGAGGCTGGAAGGCTGAGAGCAGGAGCTGCTGCTAAAGCAAGGGTGGGTCATCCTGGGGGATCACCAGCAATGAAGACCTGTGAGAGCCACCACTTGGGATCTTTAAATAGAACAGGATCCTTTCTTTCTGAAAGAAACATCCAGGGCTGGATGCAGGAAGTGTCCATGCTTCTCTGCCATGCTCTGGGCTGGCAGGAAGATCTTGTGATCTTTATGGCCTAAAGCTCCACATCCCTGGGAGGCCCCAGCTGGGCCAGCACAGCACTGCTCCCTCCCAGGCTGGGGCTCATTCCAGGTGTCCCTGCTGTGTGTTCCACCCCTGGTTTCCCTTTGGGAGGGAGGATGTTGGCTTGTGCTCTGCGCAGGGAGAAAGGGCCAGCAAGTCCTTCCAGAAGCTCCAAAGGCCCTGCAGGGAGTAGGGCAGCCTCCTCACTCTGCCCTTCCCACCCAGGGCTCCCCATCTTCTGCGTGGTGACAATCCTCCTGGCCAGCTGGACCAACTACGGCCCCATCTCCATTCCCATCTACGAATCCATTGATGGCAGAACCGTCAATGCAACCATGTGAGTCATGGCACATGGGTTACCTGGCCAAACCTTCACCAAGGCCTGGGGCTGTTCTGCGGTTTTGTGCCAGGGGGATCCACCACACTTCTGTGCTTCTCCCAGCCCCTCCTTGTGACCCTGTGGATGGGCACAGAGTAACCCCCTGCCCTTTCTCCTCCCTCCAGCTGCTGGATCACGAGCCCCCTGGTCCACAACTCCGTGAACCTGGGTTTCTTCACTCTGGTGTTCCTCTTTAACTCGGTCATGCTGGGGGCCATGGTGCGCGAGATCCTCCGGCAGAACAAGAAGGGTCACAAGCTCAAGCACATCCTGGCCCTCCTTGGGCTGAGCATCCTGCTGGGCATCCCCTGGGCACTCATCTTCTTCTCCTTCACCTCTGGTGTGTTCTGCCTTGTCTCCCTCTACATCTTCACCATCATCAACTCCCTCCAAGGTGAGCCTGTGGCTCTGGGCTGCTCTGAGAGCAGCAGGATGTTCACGGGGTGTTGGTGGGGTGGTGATGGTGTGCAGGATGAGCTCTGGCAGCCTGGGTGGCTCACTCTCACCTGTGGAGGAGTCACCCACATGTCTTTGTGACTGTGTTCACAGGGGTCTGAGGATGAGGGAAGAGACGAGGATCTGACTCCATGTTTCAGAGGGCTTGATTTATTATTTTATTATATATATTATATTAAAACTAAACTAAAAGAATAGAAGAAAGGGTTTCATCAGAAGGCTAGCTAAGCTGAGAATAGAAAAAGAATGATAACAAAGGCTTGTGACTGACTGAGAGTCCGAGCCAGCTGACTGTGATTGGCCATTAATTAGTAACAACTCTATGAGACCAATCACAGATGCACCTGTTGCATTCCACAGCAGCAGATAACCATTGTTTACATTTTGTTTCTGAGGCTTCTCAGCTTCTCAGGAGGAAAAAATTCTAAGGAAAGGATTTTCCATAAAAGATGTCTGTGACACTTCCTCTCGCCTCTGCCAGGTTTCCTCATCTTCCTCTGGTACTGGACCATGGTGCTGCAGGCGAGGAAGGGCCCTGACTCCCAGAGCAGCTCTGACAGTGCCAAGCTGCAGCCCAGCAGCAGCTGAGCCCCGTGGTGCCCGTGCTGTGCCAGAGCTGCCCATGCCAAGCATGGCCACAAGAAGGCTCACACCATCTGCTTTGCTACTGCACCTGCCCTGTATGCCACAGGGAGCCCAGGGACCCACAGTGGGGCCAGCCACCCCCCCTCTGCTGGCCCCCTCCCCAGTTTTCTCATCCTGGCAGGCTTGGCATCCTTGGGGCAGGAGGGAGGGAGGGATGCTTACTTGGGCAGTGGGGGCTGTAAAATGTGGAAGGGGCAGGGACAGGGTCCCCAGTGCCTTTGGATATCCCCTCCCATGTCCTGAGGCCAGGAGGGATGGGTGGGAAAGGCCCAGTTTTCAGCCCTTGCTGATGGTCACCATTAGGGTCCTTCCCCAGGGAAGACAGAACGATTCTGCCCCTGCCACACTCTCAGGCAGCTGAAATAATTATTTTTTTTACTTTAATGTTTAATGTCTATTTGTGGGTGATGTAGGAGCTCAGTGAGCATGCCTGCACACCACATCTGTCCCCATTAAAGTGTTTTTTCTCTGAGTGTGGCTCTCTGGGGTCTCTGCTTGGTGCGTTGGTGGGCTCTCCAATGGGATCCATCTCTCATCTGGGTTATCCCACTTCTGGGGCAGGACCCAGCACTTCACCCTGGAGGATCCTGCTGAGGATGGTGGGACTGATGATGGTGCTCCTGGCAGAGCTCTGGCTGCCTTTGGGACTGGGTTTATGGAGGGAGGTACCTTTGGGGATGGGGTTATGGAGGGAGGTACCACGGCTTGGGAATCACCAGGGACTGTGACTCCCCAGCAGAAAGGGAGAACAGGGATCCAAGGAGGGAGGCATCAAAGGATAGGAATCATCCCTCAGTGGCTGTGGGGCCAGGCAGGATCTGGCTGTCCTGGCTGTGCCCCTTGCAAACACAGCACCACATTTCCCATCCCACCACCCCCCTTCCAGCTGGCTGCGGATCAACCCCCTCCACCCAGCTGGAGCAGGAAGTGGATGCTTCATCCTGGAGGCTTGTGGTGATGGCCAGATGAGGATGAGGATGCTCCAGCACTTGCTGGGCTGGTTAGGGCCATCAGGAATGTGGGAGAAAGGGAAAGCAAAGAGCCCTGAGCTGTCAGGGGCAGGAGCTGCAGCTCGGGTGGTTGGTGTCGTTGCTGTGAGCTGGGACAGGAGGTCACTTGCCAGCCCACAGGAAGGCGTGAGGGGCTCCCAAAAGGGAAATGAGGAACAGCTCTTGCCTCAGAAGTGGCCACAAGCCCCAGGGGAGCCTGGGGAGGAGCAGAGCCGCCAGGACAAGGGGAGCAGAGCGTGGTGGGATGGCCGGGGGCAGCCAGGAGACCCCACAAAGTGGCATGAACCTGCTCCTGGGCACTGTCCTGCTGCTCCTGCTGCTGCCTGGTGAGTGGCATCCTTGGCACTGGGGGTGGTGCATGGGCTTTGTGGGAAGGTTTCCCATGGGAAGGTGCTCACCAAAAGACCAAGTGGGGATTTCATCCTGAAATGTGGACGGGCCAGAGAGGAGCATCCCCATGTGCAGAGGTGAGCAGAGTTGGGGGCTTTGTTTCTCGGGGCTTTTCTAAAACCTGGGCTCAGCAGTCCAGGGTCTCTTTTGTGAGCCCCTCAGGCAGGCTGGGCACGGTGATTTTGCCCTCACCAGCTCTGATTGATGTTTTTGAAGCCCACGTAACTGCAGGACTGTTCCTTTACAACCTGGCAGCTGCCAGACCCTCCTGCCTTCTCCTCCCCTTTCCCTCTGGACAGAGGGAGGGCTGACCCTAGGTTTTGGTGTTTTCCCCCCTTTTTCCATCCAGATGTTGCCGAGGGACAGGACAGCTGTTCCGGTGAGTGTCCCCTCCATTACCCCCTGGCTCCCAGTGCCCTCCCGTGCTGTGGTGCCCGGCGGTCACTGCTGCCCCTGCCCAGAGCTGCCCCGGGGTGATGAGCACAGGGAGTGCTGCAGAACGGTGCTGGAGCAGCAGAGCCCGGGCAGCAGCACCCCAGTGTCCCACCTGTTCCAGCGCTGCCCGGAGCTGTGGCGCTCCCGGAACCGCGCCTGTGTCTGCCTGAGGGAGCACTGGCTCAGGTAGGGCAGGGCTGGCCAGGACGGGGTTTGGGGGCTCAGTCCCCACGTCCTCGTGTCCCACAGCCCCCCTTGTCCCACAGGCTGCTGCAGTCGGGGTTGCACAGTCAGCTGGCTGGGCTCCAGACTCTGCTCCTCAATGTCAGCAGGGCTGTCACCCGCGATGTGCTCATCGCCTTCTCCCCCTCTGAGGTGAGCTGTGTCCCTGCCTCTCCCTTGCTTGGAAGGTCCCACACCTTCCAAGCACCCCTCAGCCCCTGCCCAGGGTGTGGTGTGCCCTGCTGTGCTCTTCCTCCTCCCTGTGGGGTTGCATCATGGGCCCACATCAACTTCAACATCCCTTGGCAAGGAGCCATGTGAAGGGGTGCTTGGGAGGAAAGAGCCCTCCCCAAGGAGCCATCCCAGCACACCAGGTGGGCAGGGGGAGTGTGAGGTAGGAAAGGAGCAGGGACAGGTGTGACCTTGTGCCTCCTGCCCACCCAGAGGCTCTCCAGGCTCTGGATGTCCCAGGGGACCACGTGTGGGTAGAGAATCTGCTGGCTCCCACTCCCAGCTCTGCCCCCACAGATGCTGGGCGCTGGCAATGAGGTTTTCCCCTTCCCCTCAGGGCTCCTGCTGGTGTTACAGAGCAAACCCACCTGGGCAGGGCTGAATTTGTACCTGGAGCAAGATTGGTGGGTTCTGAACAGAGATGTGACCTGGCAGCAACAACCTCTCACTGTTCTCTGCTGCAGGGCCCCAGCAGGCTGAATGCTACAGAGAAAGGGAAGGCAGGTAAAATCCACCTCCCCAGGGGGATATTCCGGTCCCTGACCAGCCAAACAGTGCGAGTGGTGGTGACAGTCCTCAATATCCAGCAACTTGGCATGTTCCAGGTACAGCTGGCACTGCCAGCATCCCTCCCGCTGCCCCCAGCCCCTGCCACCCACCAGCTCAGCCCTGGCAGGGTTTCCCCTCCACAGGAAATCAACCAGACAGGGCAGGTCTTGAACAACACCGTGGTGGGCATCATGGTGGGGGAGAGCAGCATCTCGGGGCTGCAGCAGCCCGTGCAGATCACCTTCAGCCACGGGGAGCTGCCCCAGGTGAGTCAGAGCTGCAGGGCTGCCCTGCCCTCCCCTCCAGTGCCCTCCCCATTCCGGGGCTGATCCTGCTCCCCCATGACAAGGGCTGACGCTGCTCTCTCCCTTGCAGGGTGTCACCCCCCGATGCGTGTTCTGGGATGCCAGCAAAGGTGCGGCTGCTCGGGGCAGGTGCGGGGCGGGCACGGGCGCTGTCCCAGCGCTCACAGCCGCTCCCCCTGCCTGTTGCAGGGCAGGCAGGAGGCTGGCGCAGCAGTGGATGTGACACACAGCCCGGGGACAAGGGGACAGTCTGCTCCTGTGACCATCTCACCTTCTTCACCCTGCTCCTGGTGACGATCCCGCTCCCTGCAGCTCCTGCTTGTGCCCTGGCAGTGCTGCCTGCACACTTGGGTGTCATGAGTAGCCACACAGGGACAATTAGAGCTGTGCTCAGACAAGGCAAGGTCCCAAACCCGAGCCCAGCCCCAGCTCAGGAGGGCAGCAGCAGCTCAGCTGAGCAGGGCAGGCTGGAAAAGGCCCCAGCTTGGTGCAGGCTCTGGCAGAACAAGGCTTGAGGTCCCAGATCCTGGTGGAGACCCCCAGGAGGGTGCTCACAGTGGTCACTTCACCCACAGAGCATCTCCTCTGACCCACCACTGCTCTGCTTCCCCTGAAGATCTGTGGGCTGGTATGGGGTCCCTGCAGCAGCCCCATGGCTCTGGTGCTTGCAGTCAGGTTTCCTAGGCTGGTGCAGGGCCTGTCTGACCCAACATGTGCATGTTTGGCAGAGCCCAGCTCTGGAAGGCCCCACAGCAAGAGCTCTGATGGCTGTTGCCACCGCTGGCTGTGGAGTAGCCATGGCCTTCTCCGTCTTCACCATGGCCTTCTGCATCTTCGTCAGGTGGGATGAACCAGCAGCTCCACGGGGGCTTGCCAGGCTGGGAGAGGCGTGAGGCAGTGCCAGTGCCTCTCCTGGGCCTGCTGTGCCACAGCCCAGGGCCCTGCTCACCTGTGACCCTTCCTGTCCCTGTGGGGACACAGGTGCAGGTTCAGGCTGGAGGACACCGTCCGCACCAACCTGGGGCTGCACCTCAACCTCGTGGGCAGCCTGCTCCTCCTCAACCTGGCCTTCCTGCTCAGCACTGGGCTCGCTGCCAGGGCCTCCCCAAGCACCTGCAGGGCCCTGGGGGGGCTCACCCACTACTGCCTGCTCTGCTGCTTCACCTGGATGGCGCTGGAGGGCTGCCAGCTCTACCTCCTCTTTGTCAAGGTCCTGGGCACCTACATCCACCACTATCTGGCAAAGCTGTGCCTGCTGGGCTGGGGTGAGCAGCCTGGGGGAGAGGGGCAGTGGGAGGTTTGGATTGGGTACTGGGGAAAATGTCTTCACTAAAAGGGTGGTCGGGTACTGGAACAGGGTGTCCTGGCAGTGGTGGAGTTACCAACCCTAGAAGTGTTCAAAGATGTGTGGATGTGGTACTTGGCGATGTGGTTTAGTGGTGAATGTGGCTGAGTTAACGGCTGGACTTGGTGATCTTAGAGGTCTTTTCCACCCTAAACAATTCTGTGATTGTGTCTCTCCTCTTCCAGGCTTCCCTGCTCTTGTGGTGGGAGTGGCAGGAGCTCTTGGCAGCTATGGAAAATACCACATCCAGACCATGGACCACCAGGTCATAGCCCACCTGTGCGTGTGCCACTGCCCCCAGGGCTCAGGGGGCCCTTTGGCACAGGGAGGGGCAGCTCAGTCCTGCCAGGAGGGCAGCCGTCAGGGGTTGCACCCATCTGCTTTGGCTTTGGGCCATGTTTATGCTTCTGCTTCCTTAATTGTGATTGCCACACACCAGCCACCGCCAGCTCTCATGCTGAGCCTCCTGAGTCATGCCTGCAGCCCTCCAGGTCATGGAGGGATGGCCAAGGTCCACCTGGACGTTGTCCAGGCTCCCTGCCAGCTGAGCAACACCAGGGCAGTGTTTACCCATCACTGTCCCCCTGCTCCACCCTGGCCTTGGAAAATCCCACCAAGGGAAGGTGGTGCTGAGGCTTGCAGGGTTGCTGGAGGCTCCAGGGTTGTCTCTTTTCCAGGTGCTGGATCACTCCCAAACATCTCCTGGTCCACTACATCACCAACTGTGGCTACTTTGGCCTCATCTTCCTCTTCAACATGGCTGTGTTTGGGGTGGTGACCCACAAGAGCTGCAGCTTGCAGGGCACTGGGGCAGTGCAGGGACACAGCAAGCCCTGGAAGGTGGCTCTGGTGGCAGCAGGGCTCTTCTGCCTGCTGGGAGCCACTTGGGCCCTGGCATTCCTCACCTATGGCATCTCCTCTGGAGCTGTGCTCCACCTCTTCACTGTCCTCAACTCCCTGCAAGGTGAGCACCCACTCTGAGCTGGGTTCCCTGGCTTGGGTGGGGAAGGTGGAGAGGCAGGAGCCAGCCTGGCTGTGAGGTGAACAGGGATCCCAAGGCACCAGGGTCTTCCCAGCACTGTAATACCCCTCCTTTTGTCAGGGCAGGTCCCAACCACCAGCATGGAGCTGCTCTTGGCTCCCAATTACACCCTTCCACCCGTGGTGGTTTTCCTCCAAGGACATTCCTTAGCAGGGGACTAGGGGCATTATCCACTCCCAGCCAAATGGTTCCTGTGAAGGAGGGGGTGAGCTGAGGGAATCCTCTGGAAGTGGAAGGAAAGTGTCATTAGCATCCTGGCAAGATTGTCTCCTGCTGCTGCTGAGTGTTTGTCTTCCTTTCCCTGCAGGAATATTCATATTCATCTGGTTGGTTGTCCTCTACTACCCAAAGACAAAGGAGAGCACTGGTTCCCTCTCCTACATTATCAGACATGACAAAACCACCACAGGCTCCCAGGACTAGCCCCTGGCTGGAGCAGCTCCTGGCTGGACCTCTCTCCCTGCCCTGCCTGCACCTGCACCCACTGAGAGCCCTCCTGGCAGATGCAGCTTCCTCCAGAGGGAGAGATCAGCTATCAATGCCTCAGTTTACCTTCAGTGGGCATGATCCACCTCAGCAGGGCTCTTTGCTTTTCCCTTCCATTCCTGCTGGGCTGCCCTGGGCAAGGAGCTCCACAGACGGTGCTTCTGCAAAGCCCCTCCAGGCTGCAGCTCCACGGTCTCGAGGTGGCCCTGACCTCATTCCCCAGGGACAAGGAGAAAGCCCCCAAAGCACCTGCTTTCAGTCAGGATGGAGCCATCACCCTCTTTGCTAGAGGTGGCTTTTGGTGCTGAACCAGCCCAGCAGTGAGTTTCCTGCCACTGGAGGGAGAGGATTGATGTGCTGCAGCCCAGATGTGGGGGGTTTGCCTCTGGGAATCAGCAAAGAGAAGAGGAAATCCATGAGCTTCTTTGCAAAGCATCTCCTTGCTCTCTGGCAGAGATCTGCTGTGTGTCCTTCCTGCCAAACAGCCTCTGGGGCCAGCATCAATGCCCTCATGGACATGGTGCTCTAGCCAAAATGCACATACAGCTGCCTTGCAGGGCAACTTCTGTCTTCTGATCTGTGTTTTGGTATTAAATCTCTGCCAGCTGGCTAAGCACTGTGAATTTAGTCTTTAATACCTACATTATTGTTTGTTATTTGCTTTATATTAGAGATGTATCAATGGGAAAAGTCCTGCTGGCCATTTGCCATGAATGAAATGAGAAATGTTAAGAATGAAGGAAGAAGAAATCACTATGGATGGGTGCACACACCCACACCCATACCCACACACACACATGTGCATGCACAAAGCAGCCCTTTCTGTGCTAATGCTGGCTTTGTGTGGCACAGAACTATGCAAGGACCAGCTTTGGTATCTAGAGTGGGGTATCCCCCACATGCCAGAGTGACTCTGTGGGGAAGAGGGAAGCAGGAGGAAGGGCTCTCCCATCCCTGGGTACACACTCTGGGTTTAGAGACTATGGCCCCACAAGGGAGAAGGTCCAAGAGATGCCACAGGGAACAGAAACACTGTGATGCACCTCATCCTTCAAGCACTGTTTGCACCCAGCCATTACCCCCTTCCCCAGAACACCCACAGAGACACAGCAAGAGCCTCTCTGCTGCTGTGATGTTTATTGGGAAACAGCTGTTTCCTAACCCATCCTGCGCCTCACGCTGACAGCCACAGCAGCCACAGCAAGCACGGTGAGCACACCCAGCAGGATGAGGGCCCTGGAGAGCCACGGGCTGGGTCCTGCCAAAGAGGAGAGAGACTGGGTGTGTGTCTGGGTCCCCTGAGCCCTCTGAGGCATCTCCTGACTGGGGATACATTCAGGGAGGCCATCTCCTGTGACAGGCAGGAGCCACAGGAGCTGGGGGTACTTTGGGATCCTGAAGGCACTGACAGGACTCAACACCTCAGATGGCCTCCACCCATCTCTGCTGCCTGCAGCTCAGCATGCATGCCTGCTCTGAGCCATGCCATAGGTGTGCTTGCCCCCAGCCCTGCTCCTGGACTTCCCTGGGTGCCCAGGAGGACATACATACCCGCTGGGTCCTGCTGGTCACTGCTGGAATGGTGGATCTCAGCTCCTGAGGGAGGAGCAGCCAGCAGGAGGATGGGCCCGTAGGAGACAATCCTGTTGTGGTCATCTGCCACTGCCCGCCTGCTCCTCCCGTGCCTGGGGCATTGCTGTCAGCAAAGGTAAAGGAAGGGTGATGGGAGGGCAGGCAAGGGTGATGGGAGGGAGGGAAGGGTGAAGGGAGGGAGGGATGGGTGATGGAAGGGTGATGGGAGGGCAGGGGAGGACACCCTGCACCTGGGCCATCCTGTAGATGTCCCTTTCCCAGGGAAGAGGGAAAGGAGGTCTCTGGTGGGGTCAGGCCCCTGCACCTTTGGTGCTCAGGGCTTCTGATTCTGGAGGTGTTTGGGTGAGGCACCCAAAAGCAGAGCAGAGCCCTTTGTCCAAGCAGAGGCAGTGAAGGCATTCATCATCATTGGTCAACTAGCCTCATTCATTTACTTCACAATCATCCTAGTTTTATTTCCCCTTGTGGCCCCCCTAGAAAATAAACTACTCAAGCTCTAATTAACTCTAATAGTTTATAAAGACATGGGTCTTGTAAGCCAAAGATTGAAGACTAAACCCCTTCCCAGAGTTACCCCACCACCCTATCTCAGGAAGAAAGGATTCAAACCCCCATCTCCAGCTCCCACACCCAGGTCCCACAGCCACCCAGGGCAAGGGATCTCACCTTGGCACAGGGCTCTGGGCTGTCAGGAACACAGAGCTGCACACGGCAGTGTAGGAACATCTCGGGGTAACCAACAAACTGGAACATCTGGAAGCTGAACTTGGCACTGGTGCTCTCCCCAATGGCATTGAGATAGGTCACTGTCTCATCATGGGGACACCTGGGACATGGGGGCTGGGTCAGTGGGTGGCAAATGAGGTGGAGCAGGGTTATCCCAGTGGGATAACACATCCCACAGGGAATGGGGGCAGCCCACAGGCCTATTTCTGTCTAGTCCTTGACACACTGTGGCGCAAGGAGATGGGATGTGCTGGGTTCACTGCCCTCACCCCTGCTCAATGAGCTTGTGCTGCATGTCCTGGTGTGGATCGGGGCTCGGCGTGGCCCAGCAGTCCAGAACACTGAGCAGGAAGTACTTGAGCTGGTGCTGCCCCTCCATCTTCAGCAGGACATAGAGAGTGTCCGTGAGGGGCACAGCCACACTTGGCAGGTGATAAGGCTCGAGGTAGGAGGGGGACTTGTAGAGTCTCATGCTGACATTGAAGTGTCCTTCTCTGACCACAAGTTGTACCAGCCTGGGAGGAGAGCACAGGATGGGAGCTCACAAACACAACAAGGAGGGAGGAAGGACATTGCACAGGTGAAGCCACCATTGCTCTCAGAGCTCTCTGGGGCTCCCCAGCACCTTTGCAAATTGTCTCAGTGAATCTACTTCTCTCCAAGCCCAAGGACACCATGTCAGCAGCCAGGTGAAGTGGGGCACTCACTTGTCAACAGCAGTGAGAGCAAAGGGCAGTCTCACAACCTGCTGGTAGGCGTAGATGCAGGAGAAGTGCACCTCCAGCTGGAAACTGCGGGAGATGGTGGCCCTGGGGGCCTCCTGCTCCGACTCGATGGTGTTGGAGTACGAGACATGGGAGCTGTTTTGCTGGAATGACACAGAAATCAAGGTCATGACTAAAGCCACACATAGAGCTGCAAGTTCAGAAGGTACAACTCAGCTGTAGCTGCTCCAAGCCTGGATATCTGCTGGGCTTTCAGCCTGTGTCTGGGGGCTGCTGGCACAGTGGGCACAGGTGAGCACAGGGCTCTGCTGTGCAATGCAGAGCTCCAGCACCTTGTCTGCTCCCTTCCTGCTCCATGAAGCAAGTCAAGGACCAAGGGGACAGGGCTGCAGAGCTCACAGGATGTCTCCAGAAAGCTGAGGGCTGTTACCAGTGCACAATGAGACTTCCAAGCTCTCCTAAATGAGAAAATGTGCTGCCAGCAGGGGTTTGGTGGAGGCAGAAGAGCTTTCTGACATCCTCAAGGGAGACTTTCAAGGAGTATGAGAACTTTTCAGTACCCAGATATAAAAGCAAAAGCCTTTGGTGTTTGCCCTTTGCTGTCCCACCTCACCATGTCTGCTCCTCTCCTGGCTTTGGAGCTATGGATCCTCACCTGGATTACTGATCCACAGGCAGTGTGGTTTTCACCTGTGAGAACGGCTGCAAAAAACAGCTCACCCTCTTCTTCCTTCTCTGAGACCTTGCATGCCTGGTTCTTCAAGTGGACAAGCTCCAGTGGGATTTTCAAGTGCTCAAACACCTCCTTCCTCACCATCATCTTCATGTGCTCTTCCTCACAGGCCAGCTTCAGCACCACATCTGGGGGAAAAAGCCATCTGCAATAGCAATGAGGGAGAGGCCTGAAGGAGCCCCAGGCCAGCTGGAGGGTGGCACAGTCCCACTGAGCTCAGCAGCCTTGGTTCAGGCTGTAGGGCTCTTCAGAGACACTGGGCAGGAGACAGGCTGGTCCCTTTGGAGGGGTCTCCACACAAACCCCCCAGTGTGTCTAGGGCACCAGAGGGACAGGGATCCTCTCCTTCAGAGGAAGAAAGAGTTTTTGGACAGTATCTGGAAGAGGCTTCACTGTATCTGTGCCAGGGTGGATGTGCTTGTTCTGAAACTGTGAGGGAGCTGCACCCTGCAGCCTGTCCTGCTACACCATGGCACAGCCAAGGAATTCAGGCATTTGGGGAAGAGGAAAATAGCCTGTGTCTGGGTTTTCTACCAGCACATAGCCAGGATAGGGTTGTAGTGGTGCAGAATACACCTGAACCAGGAGCTGGGATGTGCTCATGTTAACAACAGTGAACTGTGCCCATCTCCCTTCCCTCTGGTGCCCATGGACAGACTCCCTTCCCAGCATTCCCAGCCCTACCTTGGCAGAATTCCCCTGTGAAGCCTGGCTTGCAGCTGCAGACAGGTCTGTCCACAGGCACCTGGCACTGCCCCTGGTGCTGGCACGGGTTGGGCAGGCAGGGATCTGGGCTCCTCCTGACACGGAGGGCAACCCCTGGCCCCGGGCCATGGGCGCTGGCCAGCTCACCTACAGCAAAGGAAAGGCAGGAAAGATAAAATGCAGCAGGAATTTCTCCCTGATGAGAGATTTGAGAGTTCACCCCACAGCAGGAAGCTCTGCACAGCTCTCAAGGGCTGAGATCCTTGCCTGGAGCCAGAGCAGACACATCTGAGGAAGAACCTGCTGCCTCAGCTTGCTGGGAGGCTGTGAGACCTCCTGAGCCTGGCTGTAATCTGCAGCAGAGCTAAGGGGCCTGTCACTGTCACCAGAGAGCATGGTGGCACATTGCAGCCCCATGGGTTACACACCCTTTGTGCCTGGGGGGGACAGCCTGCAGTTTCTGCCTGTTTTGCTGGCTCCTGGACCCCAGTTCTTGCCTCTCTGAGCCCTGCTCTATTGTTCCTCTTTAGCAGCCTTCAGTAGCATGCTGAATGAGGAACTAGAACAAGGATCAGGTGGAGGTTTGACCTTTCCTTGCCATGCTACCCATCCATGACCCAGCAGGAACAGAGCACAGGGAGACTCACTCTTGTTGCCTTCACAGCCAACCAGGCAGAGCACAGAGAGCAGCAGCAAACATCTCACAGTCCTGTCCTGGAAAAACAAGCAGGCTCTGGATAAGTTGGATTTGTTATCACACTCACTGGAGATGTCTGCAGTCATTCAGAAAGGCAGAATCCTCAAGCATTGGTGAAATATTTTCTGTGCTGTATTTCCATGAAGCAAAGTAATTTCCCATCCCAAAGGTCCAGATCAGCCTTCCCCCATCAGGTTAACACAAGGGTCAAATACTATCCTGAATTTAGGGTAGCTATTCCAGAAAGGAAGTGGGAGAAACCAGCCCTGGGACCCACAGGGATGTGCTGGCAGGGATAATGCCACATTTCAGTGGCAATTTGAGTAAAGCTGCACAGATGGGACATCAGTCTGGGCTCCCCAAAGGGGAAAGAAGTTACCCTCTTCCCACTACAGCTCTTTTGAAGAGTTAGAATTTGCAAAAGGATCCTCACTGTTCCAGTAAATTGTAACTATAACATGGAGATCCATCCTGAGAAATCCATCCTGAGAGATCCACCCAGAGAGATCCACCCAGAGAGATCCATCCTGACATATACGCTCTGAGATCCCACCCTGAGAGACCCATCCTGAGAGATCCATCCTGAGAGACCCATCCTGAGAGATCCCACCCTGAGAGATCCCATCCTGAGAGATTCACCCTGAGAGATCCATCCTGAGATCCATCTTGAGAGATTCACCCTGAGAAATCCCACCCTGAAAGACCCATCCTGAGAGATCCCACCCTGAGAGATCCCATCCTGAGGGATCCCACCCTCAGAGATCCATCCTGAGAGATCCCATCCTGAGAAATCCACATCGAGAGATCCATCCTGAGAGATCCATCCTGGGAGATCCCACCACCTTGTTCTCCCTGCTCACCATTGCCGGGCTGCTCTCTGCTCCACCATCCATGTTCCTTCCCCCTCGGGGCTGGCTGGGCACACCGGGGCTGCTCCGTGCCTCCCTCCTGTGCCTTTTATCGCCTCCCGACAGCTCCTCGCACACACGCAGCCTTTGGGACCGCACAAGAGCCCGCTGAGCATCCCTCGGGGCCCGGGAGGAGGAAAGGACTCTCAAAGCCCATCCTCCGGCACGGATGGACGTGCCCATGAGCCGACAGCTCAGTGTGGGTGCTGACCCAATCCACAGCCCTGACAGGGGCCCAAACAGGGAGTGTCAGCAAAACCCGCTGGGATCTGGGGTCTGGGCACCCAGCTGGTTTTGTGGTATCTGTTTTTGATGCAGCAATAACAACAGATACCACAGCAGCACACACCAAGGCCAGATAACTTTGAGCGCTGAGTACAGGCACTTTTGGAACCACAACATATATTTGCTTTATCTTTTCTTTTTTTTTTTTTTTTTTTTTTAATTGACTTCTGGCATTTAAGAACTGCTGAGAGACTGGAGGAACTGGGGAGAGATGGAGGATCTTACCCCACTTTGTTTCATATCCAATTGTGAAATGCACCCACAAGGACTGAGTCCAACTCCTGGTCCCTGCACAGGACCACTCCAGCAGTCCCACCCTGTGCCTCTCAGGGCATTGTCCAAATGTTCTTTCAACTCTGGCAAGCTTAGGGGATGTGACCATTTCCCTGGAAAGCCTGTTCCAGTGCCCAACCACCCTTTGGGGGAAGAACCTTCTCCTAATATCCAACCTAAACTCCTGCCCTCAATACAAGTTCATGCCATTTAGGTGACAGTAACCAGCTGCAAATTGCATTAATCACTGAAAATGATGCTTCTTGATATATTTTGACTGCAGTCTGTGCATCCTCAAAGCTTTAATTGCTACGGTTCTCTTAAAAGAGTGCTGAATGTGAACATCCATCCATCAATCCATAATTTTTCTTAACCACAATAAACCAGAAAAAAGTGTTTAGCATCTGACCCTGCTTACAATCTAATGAACTGTCAATTAAGAATAAAGAGGAAATAAAGGGAAAAAAAGAGGAAAATTAAAATATAAAAAGGAAAAAGAAAAGGAAAAGGTAAAGGGGAAGAAAAATAAGTAGAAAAATAAAAGAAAAACAAAAAAAGAACAAGGTTTCTCGCTATCCCTTGGTGCCAGCTTTTGGGTAAGTGCCTGTGCAACAAAGGATCACTGGGGATGATTTTAATTTTAAAGAGCCGAACTCGTGAGTTCCGGAGACCCGGAGCGGGTCTCGGAGGGCGACAGCTCAGCCGTAGTGGCGGGCAGGGCCGGCCGCTGTCCCCTGTTTTGCTCCGCTCCGT